AAGATGAAATTGCGTAATGACAACTGGACTGAATATTTACACACTTAAATATGCTGAATTAAAAAACATTGTTTTCACTAATACATACGCAAAAGCTAAACTTAGGACACAGCACCAGCAAGCCGACGCCTAGCGACCCCTATCGCCTCAACGCCGACACAAGATTCCATCCTTGTGAACATGACCCCCAAGGCAACAACAAAAATACAATATTGAAAATGTGACGCTGAGATTCATGACACCAGCCGTCTCGACGCCTTCATTAAACGGTACATTTAGCGTACGCTAACCGGGAATGAGATCTTGGAAAACGGACGCCCATTGTCGAAACACCATCTCATGATATTTAGCTTAAGTTAGCCTCGAGGCGTCGTTGATCATGAATGTAAGAAATCGATGCCGATTGGAGCAACGTCTAAAGAATTGCAGCCAAATTACAGATGTAAATAAATTAAATGAACGCATAGACACATTTTACATGATTCTGGCAAACCGACGTCGGGCAACAAGACGGAATTGGTACAGACCTGCACGGATCGTAGAGCGTTGGTTTAGGTAAGGTTAGGGTATTTAGGCTAAGTTACGTTAGGTTGTGTGGCGTTGGCTTGGGTTAGGTTAGGTTGGGTTGGAGCGCCGTCTTTGGTAACATTTCGACCTTCGAAAGACTCGCTACCTTTAGCGTCGATTGTCTAGTATTATTAAGAACGTCATACCATAGTTATATGCGTCTTCTGGCGTCTTTGATGACGTCACTAGGCGTCGCGACGCTCGGGGTCGATTTCGTACTTGAGTATTCATTGTCATCTAGGAACTTCTGTGCGTCAATTTTCGGTTATTTACAGGCGTCGCGAGGATAGGCGTCGCGACGCCGGGCGTCGATTTTCTAAAGTAGCTCCGAATGGTATTCTAAGTGTCTGAGAATGTTTCCAGCGTTTTTGCGGTGGCGGTCGTCGCGACGCTCGGCGTCGGTTTTCTGGTATGTATCCAATATCATCAGGAGACTTGTCCGCTGTGATTTTGGCGTCTCTCGAGGGCGTCGTGATGTTCGGCGTCGATTCACTAACTTCCTTACCAGTGATGTTACAAGGCCTCCATCTATCTTTCTGAGGTTGGGTTACGTTAGGTTAGGTTAGGTTGTGTTAGGTTAGGTTAGCTTAGGTTAGGCTGGGTTGGTTCTTCGAAAGCGTCGCTACCTTTAGCGTCGGTTGTCTAGTATTATTAAGAACGTCATACCATAGTTATACGCGTCTTATGGCGTCTTTTGATGACGTCACTAGGC